GTGCATTCTTGTTTACTTTAAAAATCAATAAATTCAAACAAATGTAATTAAATGTTTTTTACCCCGAAAATTAGCGTTGTCACTCGTTGCATTGATAACAAAACAAAATGTACATAGTGTCGTTCATGTGTAATAGCAATTTCAGTAGAAATCATTTCCAATAATTTAAACATTCAAATATTAAATGATACACAGTTCAAATAAAATATTATTTGAAATAGGAAAATAAATTCTGACAAATGAAATATTCTTATTTTAATAATAATATCATGACGTTATAACAGTAATTCACAATTTTCGTTCATTCAACTATAAATTAGTATCCGAAAACCACATAGTTAACTTCTTCGCGATGGAGACATGTTCAATATATTGTATAAAACAGTATCAATATTATTATATAAAAAAATTAGAAAAAGAAGTTAAAAAGACTAAAGCTTCGATGTTGGAATTATTTTCACACCGTTCTCAAGTGATTGGTATCACCAAACTACACATAGAAACAAAAGGTTAAAGAAATAAAATTCTAGAAATCCAGAAATAAAAACAGAATCAAAAATACAGAGAAACAAAAAGATATGGTACCTACGCGTAGAAGTACTGAACTGTGCTTGCAATTTTTTCAATAAATAACTCGTACTTGTATTCTCAAAAAACTCGCTATCATCTTTGATTAATTTTATGCCATTCCGACTGATTACGGTGTATTTCACCTGAAGGAATGAACGAGTTAAAATTATTCATCTGTTGATATTCTGCAAATTTCCAATGAATCAGTAGCAGGTCATAACTAATGAATTAACTATAATTTGACATATGTGTGTAGAATTGTGTTTCAATTGTTTAATGTCTGGAATTGATACTGCACAATTGTACTACGTTTTAGATATAAAACAATCGTTGCATGAAGTAGAAGTATGTATAATGTATGAATATTTTCAACAATGATTTAGTAAATGAAAACAAAAAGAAACATTCATTCAAACACATGTTCAGTTTACATTTTCATTGTAAAATTTGTTCAATATGTTTAGATACTAAATCAATCCCTGAAATATTTTTCACATATTATAAGACACCATATATATCGCGTTGTTATATTTATTCAAAATGAAAATTCTTATCATTAAAATGGGGATTTAATAATTTAAAATAAGATTGGTTCATAAGAATTGCAAAAATTGTTAAAAACATTTATTATGTATTGTTGAAATTATTAACCTCTGAAACGATGGTTTCATAGCAAACTAAACCAATTTTGCTTTATGAAAGTTTATCCCCCTTGTTGTGTTTGAACGTTATACATCTGACTGAAAATTGAATAATGTTCCACTGAATAATACTTCTCTTTGAATTAATTTGCATTGAAATAAATACGAATTAATATAATGAACTGAAAGTCCTATTAAATATTGATCGGTCAGATTAATTGATCAACCAAATCGGATAACATCGTCAAAAAATTTTATACGGTTTCCCTAGATTTTAACCAGTGCTTTTGAAAAAATATTTTATTTTTTTAACCTACTTTAGAACAGGCAATATAAAAGCAAAAGGATTGCAAAATATTCAGTTGCTTTTCACAGAGAATACGGTAACATTTTAAAATTATTTTATTGCAGATATCATTTTTTATTTTCCACATCCAGCAAAAATCGAAGAAACTTTTTTATTGTTCCAATAGTACTTTCAATTATTAACATTTCCATGCTCTACGTGCATCTGTGTTCCGCCGATGATATTTCTTTTACCTCACAATTTACAAAGACAAAAGCGCGAAGAAAATAAGAGTATCGAACGAGAAACGCGGAATAAAATTGTAATGCACATTCATCGAACATAAAACGCGCGTTTCTCTCGAAAACGTTTCGAAAAAAAAAATCTATCTGGTACATCGTAAAAAATTCTGTCTCGTAAATTTAAATCGGATTTTATATATAAACCTGTCCCACATAAATGCATCAGAAGAGTCGAACAAAGAACTTAATCTCATCATAACACCGATGTACCGTGAACATTCTGTAAATGTAAAACGTAGGAAAGTTTTCATAAACGATCTATTAAACCTTTAATGCGAACGCAACATGCGATTTCAATGACGTAAATTTTTGTATAAAGGCAGTTTAGCTATGTTTCGCGAATAATAACAGCTTGCACGATGTTGTTTATTTGAACGTTTTCACAAATGTCTTTCACTGTAAAAGTAAAACTGTTGTAGAAAGACTTCAATAACGGTTCCATGAAATTGGAAAACATGTTACACTGGTATTAAGCACGAAACATAAATAACCACTAAAATGACGTTTATAGATGTTTCACGTTCCTTTTACGAGGTTTCAAACTAAAAATTTAAAGATATCGTCTGTTATGTATAACGTAGTGAATTTGTTGAAATTCAATGCGAATTTGCTTATCAGTAGACTGGTCAGAAATTTTGTAATCTCTATAAAAGTTTCTCTTCAGATTAGTTCCAACGATCCTTTGAAATGTTTTCGAACATTCAGTTTGACAGCTTCGAACTGATTACCCGACGGCACAATTGGTTCAACGTCTAGCTACGCTATTGTGTGTTGGAATTAGAATATACGACACTTTTTCATATAGATTTAGTATGTTCAGTTAAAAAAGCAACAAAAAAATAAGGAAAAACTATCAAAAGCAAATCTTATCTTATTATTTTATTATAGTAAAGAATATTAATTTTCTATGTAAGTATAGATTACTTTCATTAAGAAATTAAATGATTTTAAAAAAGAAAAATGCATTATCATACAGTACATTTGAACTGAACATTTACGACTGATAATAAATAAAAATTTCCCTTTACTATATTCATAGTCAAAGAAGATTTATTTCAACACATTACAAAATTGATTACGTATCGTTAACGTTCTTTAAGAAGTACTGTATATTATACACAAATAAATATACTTGTTGCATGAAAACTAATAAAATTATAGTTATTTCAACTGTGAAATGCAATATTATTTTATTATTAAGAAATATTTATAATCAAACACAAAGAGTTAAAAATGAGTATTTTAATTTGACATAATTATGAAAATATTAAAGGTATTCAAAAAAATACTTAGTTACATGATGAATTTAGTACAACCACTCATGTAACTGATTATTACTTACTATTTTCACGTATGTTATTGTTCCCTGTTTTTTACGGTAACTTTTAGGAAAGTAATAGTAATTAATACAATTAAACCATGTAGACAACAAAAAATGAGTTTTCAGTTTACAGTTAGTAAAAACAGATAATAATAGACAGACACGGTTTTGGATTTATGAAATCTTTTACATATCTATCAAGTTATTGTTTTCAAAATATATCTCATAACAAACACATTTTTCTAAACTTTCAATTTATAGAGAATTATTTTCTGTGCTTGTGAATGTTTATATTTAATTAATAATATTCGTTAGAAAGTGAACAAGCAAAATTATTCGTACAAACACATTAGTTTGAAACTAAGACATATGGTGTACCAGACATATTGAAAGCTTAAAAATTTTAAACCCATCGATAATTCCAAACACACGCAAGTTTTAATTTTCACCATTTAAAAAATACTGAAAATATTAAAATATTTAAAAAATATTAAGTAATAAATTAATTAATCTTTTTCAATTCTTAACTAATAATGTTTAATAAATAAATTTATCTCGTGTCATAAGTGTATTGCTTTATAAAGAATTAATCCTTGCCAAACCAGAAAAACTGAATCTATATTTATCTAAGTCGTTTTATCACTATTCACTTTGATGAATTCACAGCTAAAATCAAGAATAACAAAAAGTTAAATAATATTTACTTGAAACACTATTTCGCATAGAATATACATCATAAAAAATTCCACTAAAAGTAGATAAAGTACTTTACAGTAAAAAAAATTATATACACTATAAATGTATACATATATTCAGTATAAAATGGAATCACACAATCTTATTACCTATTACATTTTACCATTGAGTACCTATATTTAAAATTTACAAACAGCCGACAAGATTCTAAACATCCGTCCAAACTGTTGACAACGATGCACAAAGCAGCTACAAATCACGTACGGCGATCATTCCAACGGCTGCATATTAATTATGAACCACTCCAAGCAAAACTCGGTTTACTGGTTTTAATAAAACATGCAACCTTGTTACGCAATGAACATTCGAAATCAAACACTGTTATCATTGATTCATTAATTCGTTTAACCTTAATTCACCGTACGACCTGTTACATACACGCGCACCGACGCACACGGCCCTGATAAATATTTGTGACAGGCATTTCAAACTATTATCCACTTTTATCCACTTTCAGGATTCCATCAGCCTCTGTCCCGTGCTGGCCAAAAGTGTGGGATCGAATCGACGGGAAATCGTTCGAAAATTCTTCCCATACGGGAAGAATCACACCACTTCCCTTAGTCCAACGTTCGATCGCGGATCCAGCGACAAGAAGAACGGCAAGATACGCGTCCAAGAAGAGAAGATCAGGCACAGAATGGAACGTTCCCGGGAATCGAGGAAATAGGGCCGGAAATTGGTCGATTAAAACGGTATCAAATCCATCTCGAAATTACGTTACATGCGTAGCTCGGTTTCCACGGTGAACCGCATTCCACGGAATATTACGCGAAGTCACCTAAATCCCCTAGCGATTAATAACGCCACAGATTCCAATGCCCAAAATCCGATTGCCAGCGAAATTCCAAATAAAAAACAGTGAATCAAAACGTACTATTTTAAATTGTCATCATACAATAAGATACATCGTTAAAGCATTACCAGTCCCATCGATCCTACTCTATTTCACCGTAGGCGGAAACCCGATCGTTCGATTTGCGCCAGGCAACCAGTGACGCGGTACCGTTCGCAGTTTGTTAAAGAATACTTGGACAAACTACCCTCAGCATCGGTTGTGCGTGAAACTCGATTCTATAGGAGCGCGCGAAAGCGGTTTTAGGAGAGAAGCCGGAATGACCAACCTGTTACTTGAAAAAGCTGCGGCGGGCGCCAAGCGAGCGAGCTGGGTAGTGCGTGCGTTCTATCAGCTCTCGTGTTCTCAGGCTGCCCCTCCGAGCAGCTGGCTACACGTGCTTGTACTTCAGCGAGCGAACGGCGACGGTCGTCCACGGTGTACCAGCATATCTGAGGATCGACGTGTTCCTCGTTCCCCGTGGCGCGACGACAAAGGTGTCTGCGTGCCTAGGGCACATATGTTCCGCGATCGCGCGTACGTGCATGTACGTTCTTACGCGAACGGTGTGCGGTGCCCTAACGCGTTTCTGCGTAGCTGGTGAACGAGAGCGCGCGCATGCCCGCGTCTGAAAAATAAACGCGCAAAGGAAAAGCTCGCCGTGAGCGCGAACGATTCGACGGAGGAACGTCCGCAACCACCTATAGCAATGATACCGTCAGGCAGGCTGCCCGACTTGCACTGCCCGGGTCTCCTGTTTCTCCCACCGAGCAAACCAGCCGCCCCTCCGATTCCCGTTACTCCCGGCTCTCCTGCCTCTCCTGGCTCTCGCTCCTTACACCCTTGTATCCACCAGCCCCCGCCGCAGAACGTGCCTGCCGAAAAAGCTCGACTACTCTGCCCTACCTATCGCCCCCTATCAGCCTTCCTTCGCCCTCTTTGTACCGCCCACCCTCGAACGCTCCTAACTTCGTCCTTTTCCCACCTACGGCGATTCAACCCTTCCACCGTTTCGCAGGTTTCTATCCTTTGCCAGCCACCCTGCGCCGCCCCGCGCGCTGGCCTCCGGACGTCACACCGACTACGAACTTAGGAGCCGAAGTCTGAACGACGTCTTCCCTACTCCTTTTTCTTCCCGTTCGCGTTTTATTCTTTCCGCTAGCGAACAGCAACCAGCTCAAGGCGCAAGCCCGTCCTTCGGCTACCCAGCGAAGGAGAAGGGAAAAAGACCCGTCGGCCGACCGCTAGGAGGAATATCCTCGGGAGGACCCGAGGGATCCGTTGACGCACCTTATTTCGCGTGCGTTTCCACGCACGTGGACGCCGGAATAGGGTCGGCGGACGGGAGACCCGCGGCTCTCGGGGATGCCGAGGAAACTTTCTTTTCGGCCAGTACGGAACGATTTAAAGAGAATGGATTGATCACGCGTGGACGGGGTACGTTTTTTCTGTGTTGCTCGGGGAATCACGGAAATTCTTTTGCTAACTATTTTCTGGATAAAATGAGCAGTGAGACTTATGGTGAAGATTTTTGGAACGGTTTGACATTACAACTACCAGACGGATCAAAAGGACCCATTCCTGATTTCTTCTTTTTACAATTATGAAAAACATAACAGATGTTTCTCTAAAAATTATTAAAGAAATCAATTCAGCAATACGTAAACTGAATTACAAATCAATTAAAATCTCAATAGATGCGCTCTTGGAATTTCTATAGAGGAATGTCAAAAAGTCCATTTATGTAACTACTCGGTAGTTTCAGTGTTAATGAAAATGAATGGTGTTTGTTATGCGTAGAAGTGAAAGAATATTTCGATATTATCGATATTCTACGCTTAAAATGAATTTATGATTACTGGTAATGGAGAATTTTTTCGTAAGAACGAAATCAACATTCACTGTGATTTAAAAAACTGTTTGTAACGGTTTTATTTTATTTTGACCATTAAAATATGTATTCTAAAACCGTTATAACAGTAATTATATCAAATTTACATTATATTAAGTAGTCACTAAAGTTACTATACTTTAAAATGTTTATTATATTAATGCCGTTAAAAATTTCTTGTACATTTCAAATAACAGTAGCCAGCTTCGATAACTCTTCCTCTCTTCCAGGACAAAGGTTGAATTCTACAACAAAGAAATGAAGGTTTCACGAAAGCAAACTAGTTACACACTCAATTTCTCTACTTCATCGAAATTTTTGAAGTATCGTCCTTTAAGGTTGCGTTGCATGGGACGGAACATATGATAGTCCGAAGGTGTGGCGTCTAAAGAATAGGCAGGGTAAGGAAAAACTTCCCATCCTACCTTGGATATAGTTTCGGCTACAGTTTCAATAACGTGCAACCTAGCATGACTTCCAATCGTTTCGCTACTACTAATGGACGGTTCCTTCTTCATTAATTCTTTATCTAATTTGATCAACTATTAGCTGTAACACCGAATGCTGAAAGTTCATTAGATTTTTGTAGTTTACAATAAACTGTACCTTTCCTAATCTATTATACGCAAAGAAGACTAACCTGTAGTATATCATGAAGCACTTAGTAATTGCAAAGATGATTTAGGATATTTATTTGACAACGCATATTTCATGTAAATAGCTTCCTTTACAGAACTTTAACCTTTCTGCAATCATTATATATATCTAATGTGCAGAAGGAACCTTGACTTCACGTGGTGAACTCTTTATCTTATAATTTTCCTCTTCATTGGGCTCAAAAGAGTTACTTCATTCTTAATAATTTCTCGGCAGAAAGCGTAACTGTACATTCAGTGTAAATTTACCGTAGAGTTTAATCATTCATGAAAACTGTTACCCTCCAGTCGACGTGAACCGAATAATACATTAATTAAATTCTATATTACATCTTTACCACTTATCTGACTCGATACCGTAAATCACAAGGTTGTATGATACAGTTTCTCGAAGTTATCATACCATAAATAACGAATTATTCAACGTAAAGAATAAACGATGTATCATAAATCGAGACTATAATTCGTTCCATAACAGCAACATAAAGAGAGATCGAGAATACCGTGGACCCCTCCTATAGATTCAATGCATAATCGGTGAACATCGCGAAAGTGTCGTTGACTGATCGATTCCCATAGAGACATGAACTTCCCTGCTGGGTAGTCCAAGCTAGGCTCAAGACTTTATCGTAATATTCTATCCTACTGTGAAAAACAAGGAGAGGAACCGAGAGCACCCCGATCATAAGTACAACCGATGAACCGATCACGTTTCGAGATGTTTTGGCCGATATACCTTGAAATTGCCTTCTGTCGGAAGGGTTGCGGAAAGACGAGGGAGCGACAGAATTTCGGTCAGAGGGTGGGTCCACGGTCTACGAAGAGAAACAAACCGTTGCATCTCGAAGATCAATTTATTGGAAAATATCTGGCAGGAAAAGCGGGTGAAGGTAACGTGAAAAACGACGACCGAAATGGGTTTTTCAGTAGTGTTGCTTGTTGTCTACCGAAAATACAAACTCGCGGCGTATTACACATGGCCCTCCTGCTGACCCGCTGGGTAAACTGACGCGTTTGGTGTACTATATGAGGAAGAGTTAGAACGTGGTGGTCTCGCCGATGCGGTATATCGATCAATTCCGTGCAAACAGTCGACACATGCAACAGTTTCTCTCCGCAAGGTAAAAAAGTGTCCGCGAAAAAACTCTTCGCCCCCGGCCGGCCGATAAAATTTTTTATGCAGCACACATTCCAAATACTTTCTTGGTAAATTGAAAAATTATTATTAATACATGCCTTAAATTCTCCGCGTAGACGACGTCGTTTGCTTTACCGTTCATTAAAAAGAATAACCGTCACGGTTAACGGAATACAGCGTTATTAAATATTCAGGTTTCATCCGACGGATTACGCGAAGTTACTGCATTTGTGTATTACATGTGTATTCGAAATTTTAATTAAAGGAATCCTTTAAATGAAATTATTGTGATAAACCGATGTTATGAAATATTCTCTAGCCTGTAAAGAAAAGATTTTTATATAATGAAAAAGATTTTCTATTAAACTTAATTTTATAAACTGTAGACTGTGACAGTTTCATAGGTCGGTTTTATTGAAAATAAATTGTTTTTTTAGAGTTAAACACGTGAGAAGGAGATTGATAAGATTGGCACTTGCTGAATCAAACATAATCTAATCAAATCAAATCTACGGAATATTTTCAGTATCAAATACAAATATGATAAATATGAAAATATCCTAAAGTATAAATTTCTAACGTTCCACAGAGAACATTCTTAATGATTAAACATTTTAAAGTGTGGTTTCAATTACGTGTGAAGTGAATGTTGTTTTTTATTATGATTTTATATTATTCTCATAGGTATTATCCCTTAGCACTCCAGATAGCTTTGTAATCTATCAGCAACTGTACGAAATTTGGATGTGTGGAAAATCGAATAATTTTAGGGTAGTTTCTTTAAGATTCATTAAAATATTTAATATTTTAACTGGTGCGATATTGGAGCCTACAGAGTTCAAAGGGTTATTTAATACTGAGAAAGATTTGCTTACAAAAACATAGAATACTTTAATACTTCAAATGATTCTAATGGCGGAATCATTTTGGTACAAATACATTGTTGGCATCAACTTTCTCTAGTTGTTAATTAATCAATGTTGGCAATACGCATACGCTACTGAGTTCAGAATTTCATTACCAATCTTAAAGCATTTCCTAAGGCATGTTTACGTTAGCCCTCAAGCAGTACTTTATTTAACATTGGTAGCACGGTTCACAGAATCCACAAAATTCACTAAATTGCCTAAGGGTCTGTTTAAGTCTATCTCGTAAATTAACTGTAACAAATTTTAAAGCTGTTGATCTCTATGAATTATTGTGTTGAATAATACTATGCATCTGTTGCACATCATTGAAAGTATTAAACAATTGAATTAATCGCCTGTTCATTACACTCTTTCAGGGGAAAATATTTCTGATTTTTTAAAGCGTAATATTTCGAATTTTGTTTGAAATATGAAATAGTTGTATACTAGCAGTCTTATGGAACGTAAACACTGGGAAAGTAAATATCTGTGAAACTTGGTTATACGTTAAAACTGCCAGTGTTAAAACCACGTGTTTTAGATCACGCTGCGGTTTAGCTCGTGTCTGTTCTGTCATGAAACAATAACCATCAGACATATACTGTCGAAATATCAGCGGTCAATTGATAAATACTTTCGTCGTTGGACACATCTATGTTCTCTCCGATTTTAGGTGGCTGACTATTTTTTACATACACAATGGTCTGCAACCAGTGATATAACCGGAAAAAGGACAATGTTATATGAAAAATTAGGTAAAAAAATATAGAATGATTTTTTCAGGAAAATCCGGTTTGAATACTGCAATGCATTTTTTCTTCATTCTTTGAACGGTATACTTATAAAATTTTACTAACACATATCACGGTCATTTACCTAATTTAATAAATATAAAATTTATCCATATTTTCTTAGTATCATTTTTGAGAAATAATAAACGTATTTAGTAAGAACTATTAAAACGTAATATAATATTTCCTTTATTTGAAGCTAATTGGTAGATTCCATCTTAGTCGTCAGTAATTCGCAACAGTAATATTTAGAAATTACGAAGGAAATTGAGGCAACTAAAACTGTGTGATTACGCCAGAACGTCACGAAGCTGCCTCAGGTGCAAATAGATAGCGGTTACGGTGTGACACTAAATGCCCCTGTTGGCTACGCCTAACTCTTTACATAAAATATAGCAGATGAAATCACAAAGTACACTAATAATGTGAGTGAAAACGCTAATAACACGCTCCAATAGTGTACAATTCTATATATGACTATCCAATCTTAAAGATTGAATATAAAACGAAAATAAATTCTTAATACAAGATTTTTTTCTCGGAAAAATGAAATTTTAGTGTTAATCAAGTAATATTACTACTTGTGAACATTAAAAGTAGAATGACTGAATCAAACATGGTCATATCAATAACCTTTTTTATATTTTTATTTTGAAAATCACCTTTAAGATAAGTATTTTCTCAACAAATATTATAAAAATTTATTAATTATTAAATTTTTTACGAAACAGTCATTTATATTCATAATGTATTGATGTACAATTTTTAATTACGTATCAATTAATATGTAGTACATCCATAAAATCTATTTTAATAAGGGTATGTAGTTTAGTGCAAATTATTAATTGAACAATTAAATTGGACATGGCGCTTGTTAATTAAAATAAAAATCTTAGATAAAAATATTACTGATCGGCATTAATTGAGAGACCGACGGAAAAGACGAAAGATATTAATATAAAATCTGTGGAAATGATCATCAGTTGTTAATTAAATTAATTACCTACATTTCAATGTGACCGCCAACTAACTTCAAAATCTATTTCTCTGATACAGTGTATTTTCTAACTTCACTATATTATTTTAACTGTTATACCTTTATTCGCTAATCCCTAGCAACTATCTGAGATTGTAAGATACATAAAACTTAATTGAATAATATACAATTATTTTCCATACAAGTAAAGTAATATCGTATTATAATACAGTTAATGATTGATAGAATAATTAATCATATTTTATCATTTTTATCATAATTTTTTATAAAAAATTCTTGGACCATCTATAATATCTTTTATTTTAACAATCTATTATGTTTTCACTTACAATTTATTATGTTAATAATTGTTCCATTTCATACGAAGACAAGATTGCTGATTTAAATTATTATACACGATTT